TTCCATCCGGTTCCTTTTCATGCTAGCTAACTTCTTCACAGACAAATAAAGTTATATAATTTTGTTCTGCCATGCTGCATCTGAGAGAAGGAAAGAGATCTTCATCCCCTTGTCCGTTAACCTGGTACTCAAATGAAACACCTCCCCACCTTTTTCATCCCCACACAAGTTTGTCAGAGCCCGTAAGAAGTGTCGCTGGATGTTTCTAAGGCTTAAAGCAAGGCATCTCGTGGAAGTGCAAGGTGGGAAAAAACACAGGAACAATGTTCTCTAATAATTAACCACACTGGTGAGTTAAGTGCTCTTGGCTCTTCCTGGGGAAGCCGGGCTATCCAGCAACATCCGAGTTAATTAGCAGGCACAGGGCTCGCTTCCATGCCTGTTGTACTAATTAGAACCGCATGTGTTGGTTTGTATCAAAGCCGGTTCACCTCGGCTCCCCACCGGTTACTCTGTCAGCAATTCCCCTGCAAGCTGCCTCTCCGCTTCCATCCGGTTCCTTTTCATGCTAGCTAACTTCTTCACAGACAAAGTAAGACAGGGAGGCCCCGTCTCATTCCCTCGCAATTATGCAGCATCCCAGTTAGAGCCAGAGCGTGTAGCAATTCCACCTTCATCCCAGCACATCTCCGGTGTTCTCAGAAACTGATGGCTGTGTGACTGAACCGCGAGTGTCACAGAAAAGCATTGGTGGCCTCCCACCTCCCAGACATTCAGGCAAGTGCTCTTTCCCTGGAAGCCATTTTTAATGGTCCTCTTAATCACCGCCATCAACAGTAGGAACTCTCCACAATATCTCAGGCTTGAAAAAGTATCTTTGAATATAAATGGAAAGCATAAATATTTGGATTTTCTCAGAGACATGCATGTGATTTGTTTTCATTTATGATTTTCTTTTAAACCATATCCCAATTACAGTGTAAAATAATAATCCACCAGACAGGATCTGAAGGGGGAAAATTCCATTGAACTCATTGCATTTCAGTTTTCTACGGAAGCAGCTTTTCTCCAGAATCTGATGGTTTTGTTGGTAGAAATTCTGACATTGGCAGTAAATATCCTTAGCTACTTCATGCCATGGATGAATCCTTTTGGCAGTTTGATTCTAAAAAAAAAAAAATTCAGACGCTATCTTGAGTATCATTTTTAAATACATAAAATAAAACATACAAAAGCTAAAGGAAAATGTAGTTTTCAAAATAATAAAAGCAGATTAAATAGATTAAAATGCATCCCTTTACTAATAATGCTTTAAATAACAAGCCAGTATCTTTAAAAATACAAATAAGATATCCCTTATCAGACACCAGGCCAGTGACAGTGCATGCCTAGAATCCTAGCACTTGGTGAGCTGAAGCCAGAAGGTTGTGAGTTTGAGGTCAGCCTTATGACAGGGTGTGTGTGTATGTGTGTGTGTGTGTGTGTGTGTGTGGTGTGTGTGTGTATGTGGGTGAGGGTGGGATAGATAGATATAACAGCCTGTACCCTGCTCCAAGTGGCTCCATGTTGTACAAAAACGGTGGTTTTTCAAGCCATGCCTTGCCCTGGGGGACTCCATTTAGCAAGCAGCAGCATCTGAGTCCGTTCTCTTCTTTTTTGGTTTTTCAAGACAGGGTTTCTCTGTGTGGCCCTGGCTGTCCTGGAACTCACTCTGTAGACCAGGCCGGCCTAGAACTCAGAGATCTGCCTTGCCTCTGCCTCCTGAGTGCTGGGATTAAAGGTGTGCACCACCACCACCAGGCTTTGAGTCTATTCTTTATGCAAATGCAGAGGCAGGCCACTCAGTACTTTGCTGTGCACACAGAGAACAACACCTGTCCGGCACCACCCACGAAGCACTGACCGGCGGACAAGCCACCTAAAGGTCAAGAATGTACCACCTCTAAGCTCCTCAAAGCCCACTGAGCCCCTGCAAGCACATGAGCTTATTAAAAGCTCAGAAAAACCAGGTCCAAGAACTTACAAATACCTGAACTGCGGAGAGGCAGGCATGTTCACCTGAATCCCATAACAAGGAAGACAGCTATGTTCATGGCTCCCACAGACCTGTCTTCTGATCACCAGGGATACGGTCCAGCATACAGAGAACTAACTCCTGACTATCCCAGGACCTTCAGCTCTTCTTAGTCCCCACTGCAGACCCCCACAGAGACCCTCTCTGTGGCCCCACCAGCCTTCTGCCTCTGCCTAAAGGAATGCCTCTTTGAACACCTGGGACCCAACAGCAGCCTCTTACAACCCTCTGAAGTAGCCACGCTCTGTATTAATATATGTAGATGTATTCTGCATATTAATATACGTAGATATATCCTGTATGTATCGTGTGATTTCAGAGTTAACATTAGTAGTTTAGGTTGCACTAGACAAACTTGTTTACCAGCAGCCAGCTATCCAGAGAAACTGGAACTACCTGTCAAATTTGAGGCTTCGAAACTGATACTACATACGAATGTATTGTTATTCAAACAAATTCTGAGAGTGTAGAAAAACACAGCACATGTTTGTCTGTTTCTGAGGTAGCAAACACACTCGAGAGGGGGAGAGAGACACGCGGGGATGGAGGCAAGCCAGGCAGGCGGCTTTGGAAAGGACCAGAAGTATTTCAGATTTTTGCTCAGATGTTGGAGTATTTGCATATTCAAACTAGGTTTGATGGGAATGATTCTCTAAACACAAAATCCGTGTTTCTTTCACCTAGACCTTCCTCCTGTGCATACATTTAAAACATTTTAATAGTGTGTGTGTGTGTGTGTGTGTGTGTGTGTGTGTGTGTGTGTGTGTGTGTGTATTGAAAGAAATGCCAATTTTCAGCTAGAGGTTAGTGAAATGGAATACATAATTTTTTCTCATCCAAGTATACAGACCCCATGAAGTCTCATTAATAGGCTTAAATTGTATAAAAAATAGGTCAGGTTTCATTTTTACCTCCATGATTATTAGTGATTTCAAGCATGTTTTCATATATCTGTTGACCATTTTTGTACCTTCTTTGGAGAATGTCCATTTAGGTCAGTGGTTCTCAACCTTCCTTCCTAATGCTGTGACCTTTTATTACAGCTCCTCATGTTGTGGTGACCCCCAACCATAACATTATTTCATTGCTATTTCATAACTGTAATTTCACTGTATCTGATATGCGACCCCAAAGGGGTCACGACTTACAGGTTGAAAATTGCTAATTTGGGTCTTTTGCCTAACTTTTAACCAGGTTCCTATTATTAGTAGCCATTGTAGGATGTATATGCGTTCTTCACACAGCTAATATTAATCTTTAACCAGACACATGATTTGCAAAATATTTTCTACCAATTCACATAGTGAGTTCAAGGCCAACCTGGGATACATGAGACCCTCTCAAAGAAGAAGAAGAGGAGAAATTCTCCTTTCCCCTCTCATATCTGCTTGGAGCACTTGGCAAACATTGTCTGTCTTTCCTTCCTTTTCAAACTCCAATAGGGCTGATTGGATTTGTTATGTGTCGGATTTCCTTAGACTTCAGCACTTCCTGGAATCAAGAGGTTCTCTCTTCTGAGCCATCCATACCATTTTGTAAAAACTTCTAACCTTTCTAATGTTCTTCTTTATCGGTGGCTAAAATCCGCCCTCCGCCATCCTGGAGTCTTTTGAAGCCCTGGCCATCCTATGAAGGATGACGTCACCCCGCCCACCAATGTCTGACAAGCTCAGCCATGCCCACCACACCCACTCTTAAGTTGGCAAACAGCTCAGAAGCACATGTTGATGAGTGGGGCATGAGTTTAAATCAGAGACTGGACATGGGCTGGAGCCTGGCTTCCACGGCACCCCTTGCTGTTGAGAGGACATGGTGCTTATTTCTGTGTTTGTTGCGGCTGACAGCTCACGGTTGCCCAAGATTCAGTGTCTCGGTTCGGAGTCTGGTCCCTGTGGGTCACAGGTGGTAGTGATGGAGTATGTATGGTCAGAGTGCTTTTCCTAATCTTACCTCTTCATGACCCAGAAGGTCCCATCACATCCACTCTGAAAATTGAAGCTTCTTCTCCCCTCTGGACTCCATCCATCTCCCCCACAGTTGCCAGGGTAACACCGTTCTCCTAGCCTTCTTGCCCAGCCTTTATAACGAACCACAAACAGACAGACAATATAGAACACACAACCCTGAAATTGAGTTGCTTGCATAAAGCATAAGTAGAATCCAATTCCACAGCCAGCTCTTGCTTATTCTTATATTGGTTGCACAAAAACATCAGCCTGTGACCTAAGGAATCAATTCATTCTCCCCCTCAGTATCATTTTGCCCATCTCCTGAGAATGACCCTGCTTTGTTGGGTCCTTAGGTTCCTATTTTGAACATAATCTGTCTTAATAGCCCCTCCCTTTTTTTTAACCAAACTATAGTAGAAAATTTATTTCTATAATTTTAAACTTCTTAATCTCAACATCCCCTAGCCCTCTCTTTTTGCAGGGGTGATAGATAGATTAAAGATGCCACCTGTGGGCATCCCAACACTCCTTCCAAGTGAGACGGGGGCACTGACATGTGTGACACTGTGAGATATGTAGGATGGGGGACAGTAGAGTTAAGACCTGCAATGTCACTCTCTTCCACGGATCCCTTCCCTCACAAAAGCATAATCACGTTTTGATTCAGCTTGTTATATCTAATCACCAAGCATCCCCAGCATCCCAGAAGGTTCCCTGCATCTCATCCCAATCCGAAATAACCAGCGTTCTGACTTCTGTCGCTACCAGCTAGTTCTATTTGCTTTTGGACTTCCAAATGCGCTCTCTAAGAACATTGTCCTGTCCATCTTCATCTGTCACCATGATGCTCAAGCTGTCCCACCACCTACTGCATGTATCAGAATGGCATTGTGCTCATTCTTGTGTGCAGTTGATTATATATTAACACCAAGACTCTCCTATGGAAGGTGTGATCTTGGCCTCACCTAAGCACCCCGCAGAATGAAGTTTCCTTAGCCTGACATGGAGGCCCTCCCACCCTCCACCCCAATCACACTTCCTACCAGGGTTTGGCTGCCCTGCTGTCCTTAGGAACACCAGAGCACTGTGCTGCCTACCGTACCTGATATGGCTCCGTGCTTTGGCTCATCGGAATCCCCTCACAATTTCTCTCTCTCTCTCTCTCTCTCTCTCTCTCTCTCTCTCTCTCTCTCTCTCTCTCTCTCTCCCAAGACCTCCCACCTGCTCTCTTTTCCCACATATCTTATCGGATGTGCTACCTTCAAGTGAGTGGTTGGATTTTGACTACCAAAAAGAAAGCAGAAGTTAAGGGTGTTAGAAATAGTATAAGCTTCTCTGGGCTAGACATAAGAAGCTGAGGGACAGTATAAGACCTCCATGAACACCCATGACCCTCCTCCTTCTGGACCACCTATCTGAACACAAACTTCCTGGAATCCCTAAAAAAAACTCTCTGTTTGTGACTTACTGGCCAAACACAGACAAGGCTGTGGCCAGGAGTCTTGGCTGGGTTCCAATGATGAGGGAGGACAGGAACAAGGTTATGTGGTGGCATTGTGCTCACTGTCACTCCAAACCCGCTTCTCCACATCCTTTGAGATTCATCTCAAGCAGCCTCATCTTCAGAGAGCCTTCCCTGTGTCCTAGCACCTCTCAATCTGTATTCCCCTAACAACCCATTTTCTTCTCTGCTGCCAACAGAACGCTTGAGGCTTCTCCACCGGTCTATCTGCTTAAGCCGAGATGTCTGTCTTGCTAATCATTATGCTGCTATTATACAGCTAGTGAAAGGTGTGTTGAACTGAACTCCTAAGAACTTAATGATTTATGTGCCCTATGTGGGCTGGAACTGTGTCAGTATTATACGTATCTGTATTAAATGACACACAGCACCAGACACATCATCCATCCTCAATAGCATTGATTGATGGATGAATACATGGATGATGGTTAAGACTGTAGGAATGGATGGAAGAGGCCCTTCTCCAAATGCCGCACTCCCAGTGTGTTGAAAAAGACAGCTATTCATCAGCACAAATGGCTCCTGAAACAGCAGGACTCTGATGAGCAGTAATGAGAGCGACTTCTTAATCCAGAGGCAAAAAGGAGGCTTCAAAGGAAACCAGCGGCAGCAAGCGTGGGTTCTAACGCAGGATGCCTGGCGGAGGTGGGCTTCCTCACAAGGACTGCGCTCCAGACAGACTGGGTCTCTTGACGGTGTTTTTTACCCTTACCCTGAAAACAATGTCTCGTTTCTGTGAGCAGAAGCAAACAAACAAAAAACCAAACCAAAACAACAAAAAACAGACACTGTCTAACTTCTCCCGAGTGTCCTAGAGGAGAAAATGCTTGTGCACAGGCTAAGAACTGTGACCTTGCAGAGAGGACCAAGGCTCTCTCTAGTGCTATCCTTAGTAACTTTCAAGTAAGTCCACTCATTGCTTGGGATAAAATGCTAACTAGCTTTGAGGGGCTGGGGAGATGGCTCCATAGTTACAAGCACATGCTGCTCTTGCAGGACCCAAGTTCAGTTCCCAGAACCTGCTCAGGGCAGTTCACAGCATCCTGTACCTCCAACTTCAGGAAATCCAATGCTCTCTTCTAGACTCGACAGAAACCTGAGCTATACATGCAACTTTCCCCCACCAAACACACATGCATGCACACACACGCATATGCACAAACAAAGTTAAAATAAACCAAGGCCAGTATGGTAGCTCACGCCTTTAATCCCAGCACCTAGAAGACAGAAGCAGGCAGATCTCTGTGAGTTCAAGATTAACCCAGTCTACAGAGCAAGTTCCAGGTCTGCTAGTGCTACACAGAAAAATGCTGCCTCAAATAATAAAAATAATAATAAATAATAATAATAATAATAATAATAAAATCTCTTTTTTAAGGAAATACTAGCTTTGAAAATTCAACTTCCCCCATCTCTTTGGCCCCCATATTAATACAAAGAAAGATAATTTAAAAAAAACTATGTACCAATTTGACAATCTGGATGCTCTAAATAAACATTGTATAGGGAGATATGCACCTGAAAGGGTAACAGTTGATCTAATCTTAGATTTATAAGAGTGGTATTTACTCTATAGCCCTTCTTTTCTGTAAACCTTAAAAAGCCAGAGCCACGTGGACTAAATGCCGTAGTTAACCCTATTGTTAAGTAAGGGACATATATGTATGCCAGGGTTAGCAATAATCTTTAGAAATTACTAGAAAGCCTTTGACTACAAGTAGCTCAAACAATAGACCGAAGGGAAGAATATATACACACCTGAAAATCAACTAGGCACTCTCAATAGTCATCACTTACTAAATGCAGGTATCAGTATCAGGTGGGAAGTCAGCACCTCGGTTCTTCTAAGGTATTATCGTGTTTGGACTTTTCTCTTGAGGTCTTGAAGAAATAAAACAAGTAAATGTGGACTGGGCATGATGTGGACACTGTCTGTCTCCACCTGGGATGCATGTAAGAGGTTCTTCTCATTCATCCCATGTGTGTTGTCCCTGGGACTTCTCATATCCTTTCTCCATGCTGGTATTCTATCCTGGAAATTTCAGCTCCAAAATCTGTCTCCTCAACTTGGTAAGGAAAAAGCAGCATTCTCTGCTTGATTTTCCTCTCCCTGTAAACCCAAGTACCATATACAGCATGTTATTAGTGTAACAGACATAAACAGGAAAAACAGGCCAGAACTAGACTCACACAGATATGATAAATTCATCATTGTAAATATACCAAGGCAGTTTTGTGGTACATAAATTCATACAGGATCACACACACACATTTAAAAATTAAATCTTTTTTCTTTTTAAAACAATCTTCTTTAGCCAGGGATAGTGACACAAGCCTTTAATTTCAGCACTCGTGAGGCAGAGGCAGAGGCAGGCATATCTCTGTGAGTTTGAGTCCAAGCTGGTCTACAGAGTAAGTTCCAGGACAGCCAGAGCTATATAGTGAGACCCTGCCTTTAAAAAAATGCAATCAATCAATAAAATAATTTTTAAAAGAATGATCAATAAATAGTGACAGGACCACAGGCATAAATCCAAGAGCCTAAACTATAAAACTGCTAACAGAAAGCATGGAGACAGTCTTTGTGTAAGCCTGGAGTAGTTGAAATGCAGAACATAAAAGAAAAAATGGATTAATTGAACTGTATCAAATATTTCAACCAAAACTACTCTTTCAAAGGTAGCTTAAGAAAATGAAAGGGCAAACCATTGGCTAAGAAAAGGTATTTGCTACTCTATCTGATGAAGGGCTACTATTCAGAAAGTATGAAGACTCAGCTCAGTAATAAAGATAAGAAGCCTAATCAAATAGGCCCCAAATAAACACTGATCCTGTGGGTGCTGCAGATGTCACATGGCCCTTTCCTAGTGCTGCTTAGGATGGTACACATGCTTGTCGGAACCCATCAAACCGAGTGATTCCAATGAGCACATCTCAGCCCACGATGCTTGTTTTTAAGAAAATCTCAGATTCAAGAGGGACCAGAAGGAGACAGACCTTGACAGACAGAGAAGAGATGTGGGCACTTCTCAGATGAGGTGGAAATACTGACGAAGGGATTTCTAGGATTAACTGATTAAGTTCAGTGGGGTAAGTGTCATCAATAGATAAGGATTTCCCTCTGAAGTGGCCACACACAATGCCTGACCCATATAGCTCTTTGTGTGGTGTTCAGACATTGCTTTAGATAGGACTGACTTTGAACAAAATTCCTGTCTTCCTTTCTACTGACTTTCTGATTTCCACTAAATCAGATGTTTGACCTTTCACTGTAAAGTTTTGGTCCACAAGGACAAAGAAATTAGGATATTCTTTTATCTGACCATCAACGTAGTCGGAGAAGGCATCTCGTGCACATGTCAGTCCCAAGGTCCTGTCAACGGAGGTAGTTGGCTCTTTCACAAAGCGCATGCCCAGGGGTGTCAGGGGAACGGGCTTAAATGATCATTGCTGGATTTCCCAGCATCTGCTTAGACTCAAGACAATTTACAGGAAGCCTAAGTCTACAGTAGATGAGGCAGTTTGAGGACAGGTGAACCAAAGATAACCGAAACCACCGGAATACTGAAAGCTGTAAGGGTTTTGGCACCTTTGGCCAGGTGGGGAATAGGAGTTGGAAGAGGTACCTGCTGAAGGGAACGTGGACTGTCTCCTCCATAAGGAGAACTGAAGCAGGATGCTTCAAGCAATCTAACGGACATAGGAGGCGACTTTCTATCCAGATACCTGACCATTCCATATACCAGGGCTCATATGACCTGGGACCCCTGTAGAACTCGGTAACCTGTACTTATCATGAGTTCGTTCTTCTCTTCAATATTTATTTAATTAAGTTAAATATTTATCTTCCCAAATCTCCTGATACCTTTAGTACACAATAAGACACATAGATCTCTGTTGCTGGGATTGAAGACTAGCAGTTATAGTTACAACTTAATATATATATATTCTCTTAGATAGAACATATTAAGTATTAGATTCAGGTTCTTTAGGATAGGACACCTTTGAATGATTTTTATAACATGCTGTTTACCTATGCTCTATACTTCTCTGGATTTTAGAATGTGTTTCTTGCTTGATATTGTTTGCACCGATTGTAGTTACATCTTATCTAGGTCATTATCCCTCATTATTTCTGGACAATATTTGATAACCATTCCTTTGTATATAGTCTTGTATTAGTTTAGAGCCTTCTTATTTAGACAA